AGCGGATTTGGAGTCAGAAGACCTGGGTTTGAATTTTGACTGTGCTACTTAATTGGCTCTGTGACCTAAGGTCTCTTGGCCTCAGTTTTTTTTTTTATCCACAGGGACTACAGTGGATGATTCCCCAAGATTATTTCCAACTCTAATATTTTGTAAAATGTTTAATTGAATTAGTTAACTTGTAGACTGAATTATCTACTTTGCCCCTGAATAGTTGCTACTGAGTGCTCCTCATGTAACTGCCCTTAGTATATCCTCTAGAATAGAGGTCCTTACCTTGTTTGTGTCCTGGATCCTTTTAGCATTCTGGTGAAAATGATGAACCCCTTCTTAAAATGTTTTTGAATGCATAAAATGAAATACATAGGATTATTAAAGAAATTATTTATATAGAAATATAGTTATCAAACTTTTTTGAAGTTCAGAGACCCTAGGTTAAGAATGCTTAACCACTATTTCCTCTTCACTTCACACATTTCAAAAATCCTGCTGGCTCTTCTGATCTTTGACCGCACTTGTAGTCTGACCAAGACAGTGGACTAGATACTTAAGCAGTACTCTTTTCATTGAGTTTTCTGGAGTACTTGCAAGACAACTGATCACCCAGGTCTGCCATCCTTCATGGAGTTTTCCTGTGACATCTCCACTGATACCTTGACCTAAGAGAGTCCTTCATGGCACACCCTTTCCCCACCCCATACCAGAATCCTCACTTAGCTCTACTACTCACGGTGGCGGCTGCCGCCTTAGCAGGATCTGCTCTGGCCTGACCTCAGCTAGGAAAGATTTAACAAGTCTTCAAAGGTCAGGTACATTGCTGCTGCTGTGTGAGACCTCTCCTTTGTTCAAGGGACAAGATGTGGCTATCCCCTGATCACCACTTGGTAAATCTCAACAACAAATACTGACCTTTTCCAAGTATGTAGCAGATTTCTCTTGTATTTAAGTTTGCTGTTCTGTACTGACTCAATGTGGCTGGTATTCTATGCCTCACTAAGAGACTTTTCACTGCCTAAGTTGCCCCTTCTCCCCTTTTAATCATAGAACAGAGGAGAGAAATATTAGATCTAACAAAACCCTTTATTTCAAGAGAATCTGGGGATGCCTCCATTATTAAATAGACACTAAGAACTGGGGCCGAGGGATTAATCTTGGAAGTCTACACAGAGAGTCAATACTGCAGTGAAAGACCAGACTTTCCTTTGTCACCTATCTTGACAGGTGTGGGCTCCAGAAAGAGCCAAGGATGTTTCTTGGTTAGAGGGCCAATTAGATAACCTACTGATAATCCTATCACCTCTCCCAAACAGGGTCAAAGTAGAGTTGCAGTTGCTTAACTCTCCTTTTGGTTATCACAATCCTTTGGGCCCAGAGCTACCTACACATAACAAGGATGGTCTGGCAAAAGGTAAACGGTAACCCCTCCTTGCTTTAGGACCATAGCATATTTTTTTTGTTCCTATACCTTAGTGCTACTGCCTCAGACTCTCTGAACTCTGGATCTTTTCCTGCCTTAACCTTAGAATCTCGTCTGTGCCTATAGAAACTTGTCTATACTTCATGACTATGTTTAACACATTGCCTGCTCTGATATGCTATGCTTTTCAGTCTTTTTAAACCTTGCTAGACCTTTTAGGCTCTTGACTTACGTGCCTCACCTTGATACACACCCCGTACTTGAATTTCTAGTGTCCTAGCTGGAGCCCTTCTCAATAGTCCATCTCCTGATACTTTTCCTCACACCATGGCTTAACAGTAAGAAGACATTCATCTCAAAAGAAAATAATTAATAGATGTTCATAATGTTAACACATATCATCTTTTTTCAGTAGATGACTTAGCTGTATTTAGTAACTCTGTCCCAAAATTGAGCCAGTTCATATGATATACAAGCTATACTGGTTCATACAACATATAGTATACTGGTTGGAATGAGATAAGATTTGATGGATCTTGTAAAAGCAAAATGAATATATAAGGAACATTATCAAGGTGGGTCCTTACAGATAAATGGGGAAATGATTGAGCAAGTAAGTTTGTCATGAGCAAGTATGTTGGTCATGAAGCAGTGCCAAAACATTTTTGAAATCAAATGTAGCGAGAGAAGAAATGTATCGTTGACAGATGATAAGCTGCTAAACATTTATTATACCATTAAGTGCCTATGTGGAGACAAAATGCTAGATGTTAAGGATGCAAAGATAAGTATGGTATAGAACCTACTCTCGAAGAGCTTACAGTTAAATAGAAATGGCATGTATGGAAATAATTGTGATATAAAGGGAAGTGAGAGAAGAATAAATGGACAGGGCCAAAGTATTAGGAGAAGTTTGAGAAGGGAAGAACATTTGAGATGAAGAGGATGGAGGGTACAGAGGTGGTGTCTGAATTGGTCACTGAAGACAGCAGGGATATTTAACATGTGGGTATTGTGCGTACGTTCCAGGCAAGGACAGTAATAGTATATGCAAAGATAGCTGAGGTAGGAAAGGATGAAAACAGAAAAACAAATGTAGTCCACTTTGGTTTGAGCATGGTGCATGTGCATGAGGGGTATCAAAGCTGCAATGGTATGTTGGAGCCAGAACGTAGAGGGTCTTGAATGCCTGGATCTAGAGTATTTGCTTTATTAGTGGCAAAATGTTGAACTTGGCATCAGTAAGACCTGGGTCTGATATTTAGTAGATTTGTGACATCTCTGAGCCTCAGTTTCTTTGTCTCTAAAATGGGGTTAAAATATCCATTTTACCTATCTCAGAGGATTAATACGAAGCTCAAATGAGGTCATGTACGTAAATCACTTTGTAAACCTTAAATGCTATGTAAATGATAGCTTTGTTAGGTCAGTGGTGGGAAACCACTTGAGGCTTTTGAGTAGAAAAGTTTATGTGATGGGAATGTTGGTCAATTACTCATGTTAAAAAAGAGTTGAAATGGAGTACTGCATATGCAAGATTTTATTTTGTGAACAGACTTTACGTGACAGTATGTAGCAAAGCACAGGTGTCAGAGATGTGATGCGAACTGTTTGCTCTACAGTATAAGAGAGATGAAGGGCCATATGGATCACAAATAGTACAGTATGCAGTTCTTTACAGTAATTTCGAGAAAAAGTTGTCCTCAGTTGAAGTATGGGCACTGGGCTCAAGAACAGAACGAACTGCCATGATGTTGACTTGTTTTTATTATAGGCTAGGTAAGAACCAACCAGATAAAGATAAAAGAAGATGCTGTGAACCCACTGACCTTTCTCATTCATAGTGATATGCTCTGCCAAACTGTTCTTTCTTTCTGCTATGATTCCTCTTGTAACCATTGGAATTCATTTGTGAGGTGAGTAGTTAAGGTTAATCCAGGTAGATCAGAGCATGGAGAATGATCTACATTACACTTCTTATTGCTTCCATTCAGGTACAATTATAGTAGAAGTGTTAACTGCATATGTGTCCAGAACATGGCACCTTCCTCAGTGGGTTGTCATGTGGGTCAAGTGAGATAATAGATCGTATACATAACGAGCTTTGTGAACCTTAAGATGCCACATAAATATTAGTTATTGTTGCTATTACAATATTTCTTCCCAAATCCAATGCTCTTTCAGACTTTGCTGTTTCTTTTGAGTCTGTCTTCCATTTACCCAGATTCCCAACCTCAGTCACTGTTGACATTTGACTCTTACTTTGCCCCCACATCCAGTCAGATGCCAAGCTTCTACCTCCACAACATCTCTTGCACCACCCTTCTTCTCTGGATTCCCAGGGCCAGCACCTTAGTTCAGCTCTTGGCTACTTCTCATCTAGACTCTTGCATTAGCTTCCTGATTGGTCTCCTCATCCCTACTGTCTCCAGTCCATACTCGTCACAGCTCTTGTCCAGAAAGCTCTACTGGCCTTGTATTGCCTCTAGATAAAATATAGACTCCTTCTGCAACCTGACTCTATCTTTACATGTTATCCCCCTGCATGCACTCTGTAGTCCAGCCAGACAGGCCCCTTCATGTGCCTGTCACACACAGGAGACAGTGGAAGTTGTGTGGGACTTGGAATCAGAGGGTCTGGGTTTGAATCTTGGCTCACTGTATTTGTGACCTGGGAAAGTCACTTCATTTCTGTGGGCCTCAGTTGAATTAAGCGGTCTCTGAAGTCCTTTCCAGCTCCACATCTATGATCGACATTTCATCTCTCCTCCGTGTACGTTTGCATAGGATGTCCCCCCCATGCCTGGGGTGCAGGCTCTCCTCACCTCTGCCTCCTAGAACCCCCAGCTTCCTTTCCTCAGGGCTGTCCCACTGATCAGCCTTGCCTGACCCTCGTAGCTGCTTCTGCCGTTCCCCTTCCCAAGCTGCCTTCTGTATATTTGTTATGTACTCGTGAGTAAAAGTTCTTTTCCTTGATAGAAGTTTGCTGTCTGAGAGTAGGCACTGCTGCATTTTTGTCTTCGTGTTTCTAGTACCTCACCAGCCCTGGGCATGTGAAGTGCTTAGTAAATAGATTGCTTTGTTTGATTGTAGTTTAGGTGTGCCAGTGGCTTTGAAACCAGAAAAATACACCCTTTTGTGCAAATTCCAAGTTGCTGATTACGAATGATGTATGTAGATTATTTTCTTTTTGTAAGTACAGCTAAAAATTTACGTATGTGTGATACATATAACTGTAGCTATATATTCTTATACAATTGCCATAGAATTCCCTGTTAATAAAGTTTAGATACAGTGTAGCAATTCTAAGATGCCTTTAAAGTATAATAAATCGTACTCTACTGTAACAGGTGACCTGGACTGTTTAATCAGTAAATCTACAAGCACTTATTGGATACCTACTGTGTGCCAGACATTGTTAGGTGCTGGGGATACATATGCAAAGAATGAAAAAAATCCTTATTGAAAAAGAAAGTATATTCTTTAAGAAATATTTTCAGTTAAATTTCACTTAACATTATCTAAATGATAGTATAATATTGCTTATTGTTTGTTATCTAACAACCCTTTTTCTTTTTTCTAGTTTGTAAGACTTGCATAGTCCAACACTTTGAAGATAGTAATGATTGCCCAAAGTGTGGCAATCAGGTTCATGAGACAAATCCATTAGAAATGTTACGGTAAGTGAACATGTATTAATCATACACCAGAAAATTTAAATAAAATGTTTATAGTAACTAATCGATATTTTTATAATCATTCGTGGTATTAGGTTAACATAATTCTTTGGAATTTTAAATAGTTTTGCTGTGTTTATAATTTGTTTCAAAATTTTAAACTATTTTATAATATAGAACTAGAGTATAGTATTATGGTGCATTTTTTATATTCTGAGTGGTTATAGAAGTGATTTAATCTTAATTAACATTCACCTTTTCTAGGAACTAGTTACAGAATAACATAAGTAGGTAATTACTTATCCACGGTTATTGTATAAAGAGCATTGAAGTTGGGGTCAGGAGACTTTGGTCCTTAAATTAAGTTAACCTTTTTTGGTTTGAATTCCTCCTGTATAAAAAAAAAGAAAGGATGGCTTTCTACGACCTCTGCTACTTCCAAAATTCTGTCATTAAATTTCATTTGCCTCAATCACTTTGGGTTTATAAGATTTACATTGATTTTTTTAAACTTATTTAATTTTGGGCACTAGGGCTATAAATTATGCAAATAGCCACTACAGTAGATGATGATGGTGGCTGGGAGGTGGTCCTCAAACCAAATAGTAACATTTTTAATATGTCCAATTACTTGAATCAAACAGAATGTACCATGAGTTTCTACTTTCCTATGTTGTTTTATTTCCTCCTCAAAAGATCTCTTTTTTAAAAACAATTTGTCTTTTACTGGATTACTAAGTAATCACTAATTGCTGTATTTAAAACACTATATTTAAAGAAATTAAAGGTGTTAATTATAGATTTCATCCATAGCTATTCACAAATTAGGTCTGTAGTTATCATCCCTCTGCTGGTGATTCCCAGATATATATATCCAGCTCTGATCTCTCTCCTGAGCCCCATTCCAGTATCATCAAATACTTTAAAATCTTATTTATTACCTTCACAATATCTGTCTATGCATCCCCTTCTCCATTCACATGACCACCACCCTGTTGAGTCAGTCAGTAAACATTTAGTAAGCACCTACTGAGTGCCAGGCATTTTGCTAATGCTGGAGATAGAAATATGGAAAAAGATAGTCCCTGCCCTCAAGGAGCTTTCTCTCTAATTGGAGAAGACAACACAAAAGGAAATTGAAAATCTGAGGGAGGCAGGGGCAAGGAAGAAAGGAAAACCAGAACTTCTGAGCTCCCTCCCTGGGTGGAGGTTTGGGCATTCATGGCTCTACTATCCTTCAGTCAGAGAGGCAGAGGATAGTGGTGAGGTAGAGTACCTCGGCTGATAGGACCTTGAGGGATGGTGAGGTTGTAGTGGAGAAGTCAGAGGTGTCCCAGAATAGTGCAGCCAGGTGAGAAGTGACTTCAGGCCCTCTTCACCTCTTGCCTTCACTTCCATGTGTCTACTTAGTTATCAAAGTGATCATATGGTGTAGGTGTAACTGTGCCCCCTTCCCCCTACTCAATACACTTCAATAGCCCTTTCCAAATGACTCCTTTTTGCCTTTTCAGCCTTCTTGGCATTGACTTCCCGACACATATTCAGCAATCCAGTAACACTGGCCTATTTGCTCCTTCTCAAATATGACAGTCCATCTTCCAGCTCTGTTGCTTTTCACCGACTGTCTCCCATGCCTGTAATACTCTGCTTCCTGGCTTTCTTGACTTCAGTCAAGGCTCTGCTCAAATTCTGCCTTCTGCTGAAAGTCTTTCCTAGTCCCATTCTCTTCCTCCCTCACCTTTCTTATATGAGATGACCTCACTTTTACACTCTATAGACTTGCATATACACCATTGTTTGCATGTTCTCTTCCTCCCCACCTAACCTGTTCACTCCTTCAGGACAGAGACTGTTTGTATCCCCAGTGTTAGTACTGTGCCTGATTGTGGTCACTTTAATAAATGCTTCTTCACTGATTATGCACCTTTTAAATATGAAATTTCCCCCTGGAAATAGTAGGTGGTAGATCCTGATTTTCTAATGGTACTTTTTCTTATTGTGAAAAGCCAAGTGTTTCAAAACTTAGAGGAACCTTAAGAATTTCTAGTAGGAAAGAAAACTTTAAGTGCTCACCTACAACTTTTCAGAGGAAATTGTACATTTTCCCTTTGAGTTTAATTCAGCAAGCATTTGCCAATCACCTGCTTTATGCATGTGGAAACTGGGGTTGTAAAGATGGAAACCAGTTCCTGATTATACAGTTAACTATACAAGTGATTATGATGCAAGTTAGAATCTAATTAAATACACGGAACAATTAAACTTAATATCATGAATTTTTTGCATCTTTTGACTATCTGAGAGAACCAAAAAGACACATTCATCTGCATGTCAACATATAACAAATCTCTTTTTTTAAAAATCGTTGATTTCCCTTTGGTAGCTAGTCTTCCATCTGCTTGGTTGAAGTCTTAGCATTGCTCTTGCTTTCTGACCATTTGTTTTATCCACATATTACTTGGTCAGGTTTGCTAATTAGCCACTGTATTCTACATCTTGCAGCTTTTAGTAACCTGAATCCTCGGAGTGCCACCTTATAATAGGGTTTTATGGTTACAAAGCATTTTTATCTACATTTTAAAGATAATATCATCTATACCAGAATTTAACTTCTTAAAATATATTTAAATAGAATATGACAAGTTTTTAAATAGATAGTGATTTCTTACAAATTTGTTGATAATGGTTACCAACCATTCAGGGTTCAACAAACACCCTCTCCTCTGCTGCAGAGAAAGAAGTGCTTACTTCTGCCTAACTCCTAACATTTCCCGAAGCGTTCAGATGTCTACCAGGTCATCTACAGAAGACTTATTGGCCTTAACTTCAGCTGTAAAATACTAACAAAAGAATTTTCTGTGGGATAAAAACCAAGTACTTAAAAGATATAATAAGGAAGTAAAGGAATTTCATGAAATTATCTCTATGACAAAATACCTTTCTCATTTCACCTTTAGTGACATGCCTAGCTAGCTAACCAGACTGTCCGGGAAGAAAGGCATGGGGGGGGGTGATCATGTACATGTGGATGGAGTAAGTCTCCATACATGCAGAAGGGAGGCTGGGCAGGGGGGGCATAGGGATGAAGGGAGCACAGTTTAGTATCATGAAGTTTTCATCTTATTCTTTTAAAAATGTCTTTGCTAGTCATAGCAGGTTTCAGCCTCTTTTGAACTTAGGAAACATAGTACTTTGATTTCGGTATACATGTTGCTAAACTAAATAGCATTTTCAGTGATAAGGTGGATGTCTCAAAGAAACATCACTTATAGTGAATTTTATAAACTAGTTAAAAATGTTTATTTATTAAGGAAAACATTTTGCTGCCTTTCCATGATGATAGCACATTTGTTTTTATCAACTATAGAAGTGCATTTCAAAAGTTTATTCATCTCTACTTCCTCCCATCTTTATATTCCAGAATCCTGTTTTATGTCTTCTGTGGTGCCAAAGGATGAGATCGTAGCAGTGTCCATGAGTACATTTACTAGAAACATTCCCAGTCTTCTATGTGATTCCCAGTGCCTTGAATTACATAGTAAAACTTTAGCTATCTGAACTCCCTGGGGAAGTATAGCCCTTCTAGATATTTAAGTGTCTTAGATAGCCCAGGGTTTATCCCTTTCTGCCAGATTTTAACATTTGTATTCTATAATGTCTTCCCTACCTTCCTGAGCAAAATGTTCTGAGCATAATTTAACAATTTCTTTGGGTAACTGAAATCAAAAGACCACCGGCTTAGATTTAGAAAACTTGTGTTTTATGCCTTCCCTCTACTGCTCACTGACCATAAGACACAACCTTGAGGAGCCTGTTTTCTTTTCTGCAAATGAGAATAATACATAATTTCACTGCCCAGTGTATTGGGGAGGGAGCTCTTCTGGGACAGACCAAGTGATAAGTGCAGCTATTCCTTTAGGTGGAATAATTCCGTGTTTAGATTTCTGAGGCATATCACACTGGACATCCAGAGACTGCAGGCTCAGAATACTTACTTGATGAGGTTCTGATGTGCATTCTGAGGCCACTTTGAAGGCTTAACTAGCTACCTGGAATGACTGAGGTTATAATAGTGGCTATTGAACCTGCTAGAAAGTCCTGCAGAGAGCAACAAGTTCTCTTACCCAGAGACCTGTGAAGGCAGCCTCACTTAGCACTGGTGACACCAGTTAGGTTCTGCCTCATCTAATGACTGCACAGAAATGTTCCGAAGAAAGTAGTTTATAAATTGTAAATTACTACGTAAAGATGAGTTGCTGTTAAGAATCAAGGTCATCATAAGCATCATTTATTCTACCTTGCTTTAATACACTAGTAAGTCCTGCTTGCTTTATAGTGAGTACCCCAGACTGGTGTTTATAATTTTTCTTTTCTACTGGCTATGTCAGGGTGTCAGAATTTCTATCTTATTACTCTCCATGTGTCTACTTCTAGCAGCTACTCTTCCTGATAATTTGCTGTTTCAACCGAAGCCTTATTTCAGCCAAAGACAAGGTTTATTAGAACGCTGATTTGGGTGAACAAGATTCCTACTGAGTCTGTGCTGTTGGCTAGATTTTAAGAATCTGAGCCCTTGGCCAGATTTTAAGAATCTGAGCACCTTAATGGTGGCTAAGATGGATCTTATATACAGAAAGACTGTGGGAGGGATCTAAGAGTGGCCAAGTAGTCTGAGATGACTGTGAGGAGGGGTCTAGGGGAGGATCTGGATGGGAGTGGCCAGTAAGCTGGGGTGACTGTGAGGTAACACAACTCTAAGGATCTCGACTGTGTGGCCAAGAAAGTATGGAGTTCTAGATATGATTAAGGGTGGGAAGTGAGGGGGTTGAGGGAGTTACTGAACAGAGTTGGGAGATTGGGTATACCTACAATGAAAGCCCAGTTGAGTGGATTATAGCCTCATGCTGGCCTGAGACTTAACCATGTGGAAAGTCCAGAGCTTTTTCTTTTTGGAGTCCAGATCCCATACCCATCAAGACTGAGGACCTCAGAGTCAGTTCCAT